AGAGAGAGTCCGCTGGAGAGCCCGTGTACGCTCAACAACATGCAATTCTTAAAAATTAAGGTGGTGAAAACGTGCGAATGCAAAGAAAATGCATGGCAGAAAAATCCTTTCTATTGCTATATAGAATTCATTCGCCGCTAACAAGCCACTTTACGCAGAATGTACAGAAATTCGCGACCGCCTCCCCCTCTTCTTCCCGTCTCCTTTTAAAGATCCTACGTCTCTGACGAGTGCTCAAATTCTCCATGCATTGTTAACACCGCACCAAACAGACCGTTTCTGAAAACTATATAACTAATACTGTACACGACAAAATTCAAACTTTTCCCTCAATTCTTGGTAACAGATGTCTTCTGACTGTTGGTAGTGAGTGTTTAATGGATCTCCCTGGCGTGTTTAAGGTCACCTTATGTTTGATTCACAACTCAATGTATGTTTTCAGGGAATGGACAACAACGTCGAAGAGCATGAGGAGCTAGTTCAGCTTTGCGTGGATGCCATACAGAAGTGTGAATGCCCTGTTAAGAAGGCTTTGGAAATCATGTGCTCTGTAGGACGACTCTCGTATGAACTGAGCAGGCATTTTGATCAGGTGAGTTTGGAATTTTCGACTTAGGCAGTATAAAGCAATTTTCAGTTGAATGTCGAAAGTAATCCGAGATTTTGTTAGTTATGCTTCATTTTGTTCTGTGATTGGTCCAGAAAACTCGTGCCACCCTCTTAACCAATAAGATGCAAAACTAACAAACAATCGCAAATTGGTCGCCCACGTTTTCCCGCGCTTTAGGCAGTTTTGTTGGTTTTACTTCGAGTTCCTTTTGTCTCTTAATGGTATTTTCCTCTCTTCCGATTGGCCGTGGCGGGTACTTTGAATTTCGTTTTACGACACTCAATGGAAAAGCGCTTTAAGTCGTTAACCTGCTTTAAGAGTTTTAAGATCAAAGGTTGTCAAACCAGAGGACCACGGCTATTCAGAACAAAGAGAAATATCCGAAGTGAACAATGAAAATTCATAGTTAACACCCCGACCCGAAGCCGGTAAATTATTAGTAAAAATTTTCCTCGAAACAAGTGGGGAAAAGACTTATAAAAGCGTTGTTGTGAGGTAGACTCCCAGCTGCGCTAAGAACCAAACCTTTATTCATTTGACTGCAGGAAAAGGCGAATGCTCGAAACATCAGCTTTAGAACTCTTGACGGAGACCAATTGACACTATCAACTCAGTTGTTGAAACCAAATTTAAAAATCCCTCATCGATGCAGCAACACAGTTTCTTTAGAATTTTATCCCCTTTATTCATTGACTGCCTGATATCGTTAAATTGCCCTCTCGGGAAAAAAAATTATTGTGACTCTCTTCCTTGCAGGTGATTGCTATAGACCACAGTGGTCGTCTGCTCGATGCAGCCCTGAAGATTCAGCAAGGAAAATCCTTGGAGATCGCCAGCGCTCTGGACAAGCGTTTTTCCAGTATTCCTCTCAACAAGATTATAGCCGAAACTGAGAAAGTGCTGTTCCAACAGGTTAGAGGCTATGATTGTTAGAATCGGTCCCAATGGTCAATTCTTTTATTATTCGGATGCTACCGAATTGAAGGTCTCTCTCGCAGTCCTTTGGACTTGTCACGAAACTCGTTAGAAAAGAGCAGATTGCGCGACGTGACCAAACAATTAAAGGCTGCAAAGGAGATTTTTGTAGAATAAGTTGTCCTTCGTTTTTAACCTGCTAAATAGTTGTTGTTCGTGGTTTATTTTGAGTTAATAAAGGAAAGTACTTTCGGGTAAGATAATTTTGTTTGTTTGTTTGATTTCAATTGTGCAGTTCACCTGGCTGCCAAATGAGATTGGTGTTTATGACGTCATTGTCATGCCTTGCCTCCACCGTCTGGCCAATGTTAAAGGTAAGTGAACTCGCCTTTTTCCTGACAGAATTCAGTTACAAATGAGTGGGCGTCGGCCCATCTTAATGTCTGCGACTAGATTTATCCACCAGCTACTGGGATTCAACCTGAAATACTCTTTTACTTTAAAAGTCTTGACCTCCCAGAATTGATCGACATGTAACTTCTCCCTAGAATATTCATACAATATCCAGCAAGCAGGTAACGAGAATACTCTAACTTATTAGTGGGAAGTTTTTATCTTGATCTAAAAAATGAAAATGCTCGTGACTGATTTACATGGAAATAGGTAACAGCTATTGAGGAGAATTATAAAATCAGATTCTCGGGAGTTAAAGTGTTAACGGTCTGTTTATACAGATATAACCCATTTTCGCAAAATATGTCTGTGCTGAATTCTGGAACATCATGTAAAGTTCAAAAGCGAATTTTTTTTCATAATTACGATATGCCTTTACCAAGGGTCCACTAAAACCTGTGCAGTCACAACAGCCAATCGCAGTTAGGAATGACCCATGTCTTGAAAGCTCGTGCGACCCTCTCAACTAATCTGATGGAAGACTAAAGCCAAACACCCCTTGGCCACGCGCGTTTTCCCGCGCTTCAGGAAGTTTGCATGGTTCACTTTGATTTATCATTGGCTTTTTTAAACTTTTACCTCTCTTCGTAATAACGTCAGTTTTGGTGTGGCTGCATTGAGTTGAAAAGGGCTCTAACGGTAAATGTGTTTTTCCTGTGTTTAGCTTGGTTGATTCGCCTGTGGGAGATCATCAATCCAAAAGGTCTGTTGATCATCAAGACCAACATCACATGGGATCTTGAATCACTGAAAGCTGTGCTTGGAAACAGGTGAGGGCTGTTTTAATTTTCCAAAATTTCTTCATGACGTCGGGCATAAATTCTGAGGTGATAAATTCTGGCCGGCGACTCACTACGAGTGTTACATCGGAGCGTTAATTTTTCGATGGGGGGAGGGGTGGGAATAAGTCGGGATAGCGCTCGTGCTGCAATTTTTTCGGCCCCTCTTTGTGAATTTCCTTGATCCGAACGCAATTTGTACTTAACCATTTGCATGTATCTGAATGTACGTTCAGATCTCGAGGGCGCTATAGAAGTAAATAAATTATTATTATTATTATTATTATTATACAATTACCTAATTGCACTGACGTGGAAAACTTCACTTATCAATGTTCTCTTTCCACCCTCAGATTTTCTCTTTTGGAGCTCCGCTTGGTGAAAAGCAAGCGGGAAGGACTGCGCAAGTCTGACATGTGCCACTCAAGTGTTACCATATGGAGGAGCAAACAGTAAATTGCGCTACTGGAACGTTGAGGAGAACAAAAGCATTGTTACGTTGAAACGGCACTGAAAGATCACTGAATATTCCGGTTTTTCCCTTTAATGGTTCGTCCAGGTGGCTGCTTGTGTACGATTTAGTCTGGGGGTAGACTTTTTCGGTGATCATTAATCCTTCTTATCCGGTTCTAAATCCTGGTAACACTCTATTCTTAATATCAGATAGGCACCTACCTGATTTTTTTTTCTTGTGGCATGCACTTCTTTTGTAGTTTGCCTAATTTTTCCAGTAGCTATAATTTTTTTCCATCATTGATTTTTCTCTAAGTGTTGTCTCCGTGAAATGGCATTGTTCCCACAACGAAACATGGGGTCTCACATTCCATCAAGTTATAACGCCAAATATTCAGCATTTTAGGAATAAAAAGTACCAGTGTAGGAGTCTTTCGATATATAATCCTTCGATTTAAACGTGTAGTTTTGAGAAACTAGGAAAAATGTGTAATCGCTCAGGTCTTAATTTTTACAAGGCTAGAGTAACTGCATGAAGTATATTCAATCACAATTGTGATCTAAATCAACGTTAGAGCACTTTACATGAATGTCGTAAAACTAAAACCAAAGTAATGACAATGACCAATCAGAAGAGAGGAAAATACTTTTAAGAGCCAATGAGAACTCTCGCAAAACTGACCAAACTGCTTGAAGCGCGGGAAAACGCGGGCATCCAAGTCGTATTTGGTTTTAGTTTTGCATCTGATTTGTTGAAGAGTGGCGCGAGTTTTCTGGACCAATCACAGAGCGAAGTAAAGCAAAAAAAAAATTAACATTTATTTACATTTAAGATTAACATTCTTTACATTTAAAGATTAAAAGTAAAAATTACTTTTTCCATTTAATAGAAAACTACTTTAGGTAACTGCTTTGCTACTAAATGGTTTTTAAACTATGTTTATTGCCATCAATAGATAGTTTATCTCTATATTTCTAAAGTTGACGAAGTTATCAATAACGAATATGTTCAAGTTAGAAAGTCGACTCTAAGTTGACTGTAACTTACTTAGCCCAATGTGGGAAATTTATCTTATCTTATATTGCGATGTTCGTGTCAATGACTCGAAAAGACGAAGTTCTACGAAACATCAGAAATAAATTGTGGTTACTGTAATTGAAATCTCTTGCTATTCATTAGTGAATCTCTGGAGCCTAATATAAAACCCTCAGCCTCCAAGGGCGACCAGCATCCAGTTTCTCCCTACAGAATCATTCCTGAATCAAACATTAAAACGATAAGATTAAAGGAAATGATCAACTAAAGAAGCTCTTGATTGTTAAACAAATTCTCCTTGTCAGCTTCTTAGCAAATGTGTAGAGAATAGTATGAAGAATATGCATACCGATGTTAGGGAGTAAACAGTTGAGGATCTATCGTGCAGTCTCCGTCACGAGAGAGCCTACCTTGCTGTCAGCACTGCACGATACGCGTTTCTCCGCCAGGGATCTGGCACTAGACTCCTTGCTGACGTCATTGTCTCGTATTTTCCCCAATTCCTGTGTGTCCTTCCCTGTCGTCATTTTCTTGTCGGTTTCAACTCTGATGAGTTTGATGAGTTGTGTGTCACTCCCCGTATTTTTGTGTTCCTTCTCAATGTCTGTAAATTCTTCGTCTGGCAATCCCAAACTGATTTTCGTTCTCGAAACGTTCGTCCTGGCGCTGCGGATATCATCATTATGAAGGTGATGATGACTCGTTTGAGATTTCACCTACCCATTTTCTTCAAACATTTTAAGTCCCTTCGTCGTCATCGTTATTTCCATCATCAATGGGGCGCCCGTGGTGCTGCCACCTTCACCAACGACCACCTTTCCAAACTTCTAACTTTTTTACGTACCTTTTATTATTTCGGTTTTCAGCGTGTCTCCTCTTGGCTAGCTAGGAGTCTTTATTATCGAGTGTGTGTGTTTAGTTTTTTAGGGCGATTTTTTAGGTGTAGGCTCGAAGTTCGATTCCCCAACGAAGTTGGTGTCTGGTGACCCTCGTGTTGTGGTAAACCCAACCCTATAGACACGGGTTGGATTTAGTTTGGCAGGCATTGCACTGCCCCCACGGGAGCCTAGCTGTTCACCTCAAATATAAAAAGAACTTGACGTGGCGGCAAAAACGTCACGATAAAACTGATGATCAATGTTCTTTCAACGACTCAAATTTAGACCATTCGATTGACTCTTTATGATGATGGTTTCCGCTCACATTCCCAAGAGTAACAAAAATGAACAAGATAACCCTTGGACCCCCAGGAGTCACTAGGATCTAATTTCTCCTTAGAATATCACCCATGAATCATGTATTAAGGTCACAAGAATAAAGGAATGATCAATAGCTTGGGAAGCTCTTGATTGTTAAACAAATTCTGTTTGTGAGTAGCTGAGGAAATATGTGAGGGACAGTATGGAGAATATGCATATTGATGTTGGGATGTAAGGGTTTTATGCTGTTACATACCTTTCTTAAGGGTACCTTAACTTAATTTTTACTAATTTGAAACAACGCATTTCTTTGACAGCTATCCCTGAGAGTTAGTATGTTCCAGGCATTCAATCAGTAAAAAAAAAGAAAACGAGATGGTAAACGAACCATCGAAGCGATCATAGGCGCGATAGTGTTGCGTGACAAATACGCGTCAGACCGTTGCGTGACCTTTCACATTGAAAACCGCTGATTTTTTTTACCTGTGTTTCACCACGCTGGGGAAAGAAACATGGTGACAGTCACATTGCAAGACACCTCGCCATTTGATGGGCAAAAACCCGGCACATCAGGCTTAAGGAAAGCTGTCAAAGTTTTCCAGCAACATCACTATACAGAGAATTTCGTACAATGTATTATAGACTCAATCCCAGCGGAAAAAAGGCGAGGATGTACTTTGGTTGTCGGAGGGGATGGAAGATTCTTTATGCGAGAGGCTGTTTTAATTATCGTCAGAATGGCAGCCGCAAACGAAGTATGTTATTTGTCTAGTCGTATTGGAGTATCCTGCGAGGAATTTAAAAAAAATCGGCCGTAATTTTTTTGATATTTGTGAAGGTTTTGTTGTATAGATTGTTTGTTTTATAAATATTTTAATTTGTAGGTGAACTTTGAATGATCTCCTTTCTTGACGCGTGGCAACAGAAACGATTAAAAATATTGAAATGGTTTAGAATAAGGTTATCTACGTAACAGTAATTGTTTATTATTTAAATTTTCCTATGATTGGTCATTTGGAGCGAACAGTATCGCTATTAGGCAATCGCAAAAATTCCTTGAGGAATATTTTGGTTGACACGTCGATCAATGGTCAGGATGACAATTGGATTCCTGTCACCCCCCCCCCCCCCTCCCCCGCGCGTGTTTTTATGTTCATATATATTTTGATAAGGTCGTTTCTCTTAGTCCACGCTATGATGAAGATTTGTAACCCACATGAGCATAATCTTGAAAGTATTTCAAACCAGACTAAGTTTGTGATAAACGGACCCAAACAGATTACATAACATATGCACCTTCAGACGAGAGTCTGTGAATTGATATTATGTTTTGAAAACTTCAAATGCTCCAGGCCACCTTGAATTCCAAACCAGAGAATTTGAGGACCATTTTGGTTTGAGAAGTGGGTGAGATGTCGACAAAGCCCCATACTTCAATATGCATACTTTTACAGTTCTTTGAGAAAGAAAAAATCATGTTGGTGATATGTTTTTGATGACTCAAATTTTTTGTTTCAAACTTTTGTATCCAGATCGGCCAACTTGTTATTGGTCAGGGTGGCATCTTTTCAACCCCAGCTGTATCCTGCATTATTAGAAAAATGAAAGCAACAGGTTGGAATACATGCTTGTGAATATTGATAGTTATATGTATTATGATGCTTGCATATCCACTGTGCTCACTGTACTGGTTAAGCCTACTCAGTATCAACAATTATCCACCAAAGTGGAGGTGAATATTATTGGTGGATATTTAGCAAGCAGTGGTGCAATATGTCACATGCATTAATTTTCACCATTACTCTTTGCATTACTGCACTAGCTACTTTACATCATGTCCCAGAAAATTACAAGACAGGTCTCATGTAATAACCCTTGTCTATGTTGATTATTCATATCGAAAAGGAACAAAGCCAGCAGAGAAAAGCCAACTCAAGTGTTTTAATTTTTTTCATCTTTATCATTTTACACAGAAGAAAAAAAAAACTTGTTCAGTATAGTCCAGTGATAGTGACTTTAAAAAGGTTATCATTAATACACATCCACCATTAGATCAACACTGATTTTTTCATGAGTGCTTTTCATGTGATATGAAAATGAATGGGGGGTTATGAAATAAATAAACCCCCTCTGGCCTGCTGGTATATTGGCTGATAATGTCCTTAGCTGAGAGATTGATTAGACTGATCACATTTCACACTTCACTTCTCTGCCAAATTTTTTTTTGGACAATCTGTCAACTGCAGACATTATCAGCTGACATAACAGCTGTCCAAAGGGGTTTATTACCTAAATATCTGGCAATTTTTATGGACAGTGAGGTGAATATTTGTTTTTAATTAGTATATATCACATCATGGAAACTAAAAAATCAGGTTATTTCTGTAAATGTAGCGAAACATATTCAGAAGTAAAACATTCTTGGGGTTAAAGGGTTGATGATATACATTGTACAGTGTATTTATTTGTTTTGCAGGTGGGATTCTTCTTACTGCAAGCCACAATCCAGGAGGACCTGATGGTGATTTTGGAATCAAGTATAACATTGAGAATGGAGGTATTGATAATTTTGTGAACCCTTCAACTTCCAAGATCTGATTGTTGATTCTCCTGTCAAGCTGTGACACATTTCCTTGTAATTTAGTTACAAGAATTTGGTGTTATATCATGATAACAACCTCTAACTGATAAGTTTGAGTATTCTCATTACTTGTTTGTTGGATAGTGTATGGATATAATAGGGAGAAGTTACATGTAAATCACTTCAGGGAGTTAAAGGGTTAATTG